ATGGCAAAAGTTGGGCCAATGATGTAGTAGTAAGAAGAAAAAAGAGTAAGTAGACTTACTTTAAATAAAAGAGACTTGAAAATGTTCACAAGTTGAAGAGGAAAAACTGGTTAAAATGGAAATATTGAGGATACAGGGGTTAGAACTAATATAGCAGTATCCTGGAAAGATAAAAAGAGTATAGAGCATCAGGTTTTCCTAAATAAAAGCATGCTTCCTCTAAGATTTTGGTATATGTGCTGCCGAAGTGAGCACAGCTTCCTCTAAGATTTTATGGAGATGCAGGGAAGTTGACAGGGAAGGGGCCCACAGGAAGCCAAAGGAGATACTGAGAGAAATGGAGAAATAGGTCTGAGCAGGGACCAGAGACAGATATATACACATGAATACCCATCTGGACTGAGGCAAAGCAGTGGAAAGTCAAATTGGTAAGGTTGACCCCAGGTTGAGGTTCTATAGATATTGGCACAAGGGATGGAAGAGGTGTGATGAGCCGAGCTAGTGAGAGCACTTCATTGGTGGGCAGGGAATGCAGATAGAACCTGAAAGGAAGACAACTGGAGAATTCAAGGAGCTGGACATCTCAATAAAGTGAAGGAAAGAGAACATTGGACATGTGACAAAGAGATGAAGGGATGAATTGGAAATTGTGGTCAAAGTAGGGTATTGATATGTTCAAAACTAAAACTATTCTGGGTGTTTCCATGACACCGAGTAAGGCAGTGGCTTGAATAAATTAGGATAACTATTGATAGAATTGATGAAATAAAAAATAGTGGGGGAAAAAAGAGGAGGGGAATGTGGTTCCCATGAGAGTGCTGAAACAACTCAGGAAAGGTTGGAGTTTGAGTGGGAGGGGAGATACAAAAGCAGTCAAGAGTGTTGGTGACCAACACTGCCTTGATTACTGTAGCTTTAGAGGAAGTCTTAAAATTAGGTACTAAACGTCTTCCAACACTTTTTTTTTCTTTTTACTTTTCTAGGTCCTTTGTACTCCTACATAACTTTTAAATTTCAATATCCAATTTTTCACTTACAGCAAGTATACACAGACCTGAATTTTTATATATACCTTTTGTTTTCTAATCCTGCTAAATTCAAATACGAGATTTCTTAGTATTTTCTCTGTAGATGATCATTTCATCTACATATAAAGATTTTGCTTCTACCTTGCCAATCCTATCCTAATTGTGTCATTTTATGGCCAGACTATTTTGGTTTAGGCCTAGATTTCAAAGTTTAACGGACAGATGAAGACTAGGCATATCTGCCCTTGTTCCCCACCTTGAGGAGAAAGCATTGTATCTTATCCTTTCATATAGGGCATTTTCCCTGGAAGTATGGAGTACATGGCTTTAATCTGTTGAGAAGGTTCTGTTCTACTTCTAGTCTCCAAATAGCTTTTACCATGAACAGCTGTGGAATTTAGTCCAATACTTTTTCTCCAACTACTGACAGGACCATATGGCTTTTTCTTTTCCTCTGTTAAAATGATGACTTTTGGGGGTGGATCTTCCAGTACTGAACCAACACTGCCATCCCTATAATAAAACCACTTTCTACATCCTGTCAGATCTGACTTCTAATAGTTTGCTTTGTCAAAAAAATTTCTGTGTTCATACTTTTTTCTTCTATTATCTTTATCCAGTTTTAGGATTAGCACAATGTTGATTTCCTAAAATGAGGGGAGAAGTGTTCCCTTTTTTTATACCTTAAATGTTTGATATAATTTATCAGTTAAAATGTATATGAACCTGCTGTTGTCATATAGGTAGGTTTTCAAGCTAGGAATATACTTTCTTTAATAGGTGCTATTCAAATTTTATATTTCCTCCAGAGTTAGTTTCATTAATTTGTCTTCCAAGGTACTTCTTAGAAGTTGTCAAATTTATTTCAAAAAAGATTTTTGAAATATGCTTTCTATATCCTTTTAAATTCTGTAAAATCTGTGGTAATGTTTCCTAGATCTCGATATTGTAATTTAAAAAATGTATAATTGATATTGTGTAACAGGAAGAAAAGGTCTAAAGGAGCAGGGGAAGTGGGAGGGGTAGGGGAAAGGAAAGAAGTGAAAAGAAAAAATATGAGAAAAGGAAAAAAAATGGAAACAAAGTCTTTACAAATAGGGAAGGACGGAAGGGGTGAAGGGAGGGCAGGAGAAGGGGAAAAAATAAGAACCAAGATACTCATGTAAAGGTACAAGATCCCAATGATGAATGTAACTGTATTTTATACCTGGGACTTAATGGGGGGAAGAGTGTTGGTGAAAAGAAAGCTAGGCATGACATAGGCAAATATTGTGAATTTATAAAAAACGGGATTCTATGCTGTCAAGTGAGCCCTGTGTTGTAGTTGCATGTGATTCCAAACAGATCTGAGTGACAGGAATCCTTATTACTTTAAAGGGCTACCAGCCTTACATCTAAACTTCCGGATAGAGGAATTCACCCTTCTCTCCTTTATTGTACTGTTATGGTAGAAATGACCCAGAGACAGCAGTGAGGAGAGCTGGGCTCTGCTGCTTCCCCTGCCCAATTATTTGTCCTTGGGATGTCACTTCCCCTCCCCAGATATCTTTTTCCCGACTGTATTCATCCATTCATCTATTAATGCATGTAATTCTCGAATGCGCTAGACACAATGCTAAATGCTAGGGACATAGTGGTACACAGGACACACCAAAACCTGAAATTGATGCTGATCCCCAAGTTCTCCTTAGCCACAATTCCAATTATCTCTGCCAAGTAAATATGGTGCAAATGAGAGCCAAAAAGCTTTCCTGTAGTATTACGAGACCTATGGGTCTTTGGGATTCAGTAGGAAATAGCTATGGAATGGGACAGAGGCTTCCCACTTGAGATCCCTGGATACTGAGGGAATCTGTGAGCTTACTAATAAAGGAGTTTTATACAATTTCACAAACACTTATCCATTTTTATCTTTGGAGGTTATATGTTACACAAATTTTAAAAGTTGTTATTTCCACATCTCTAATTCATCATGATGTTCTGCTTCTCCTAGCTATACACAGAAACATAAGTCTCATTTCAAAACATGTCAGATACATCATAGACATTAAGGCAAGGAAGCATTAAAAGCACTATAAAAACGAAAGCCATATTATAGTATATATACCATATTATAGCCATATTTTTCTATTTTATGCATTATATAGTATATATCATTAATATACACTATGTCAGTGATGACAAACCTTTTAGAGCTTTCTATGATACAAACAGCTAGACAGCTGAACACGTGCCGTAGATCTGCCACCACTTCCACAATTAGTGTATTGTTACTATACTTTATCACTCCTATTACTTTGTTATATTACATTTAGTGTGAACTGTGGTGATAAAATAAATTCAATTGAGCAATTCAGAAGAGCCCCCTGTTCAAACCAATTAGCCAAGAAATTCTCCCTCCTTCTACCTTCTGCCTTCATTGGGAGAGGTGAGTTTTCAATCTCTAGTCACACCTACTTATTTATTTATGGAGACTAATTATTACAAATGCTGGCGATTAACATCAGTCCTGATTGGCATAAAACATCCTCCCATGCTGACTGCTTTCAAGTCCTTGGGTACATAGTATTCAAGTGAGGTCCAAAGAGACCACATGACAGACCTTGGCACTGCTGGTCACAGCTGACAGCTTCTCACTGATTCCAGATGCAGCCCATCTGCCATTTGCTAAGATTCATGGGAAGTGTCCCATGGGTATTGAGTCATTCACTGACCTCGTTACAAGTGTGGGGATGCCTCCTAGAATGCTCTTATCACTTGGCAATTCTACACGGCCAACAAGATGACCATATTAAATGTTTCTACAGCAGACTAAGGAATGGGAGAAATTAGTCCTGTTAGAGACCTCTGTCCCTGAAAAACACAAGAGCAAGAAAGAGTAAATACCTTTTACTCCAGGTAGAACCATGAAGGGCAAAGACGAGGCGGCCCTGGAAAAACTAGCTATATATTCTGTCATCCCTCAACCCCATCCCTTGTTTTATCTTTATATGTGTTAATGCTAGTTTCTAATTAATAAATACTTCATTACATATTTGTCATTTTTACTTTAACTAGTAAATGGAGTCCCCTTCAAAACTCAGACCATATTTTTAAAATCCAGTGATCAGTTGCCTACAGAACTCCACCTGATCTTCTTTTTCAAGGTATTCATTCTCAGTCTCAAGGCTGGCCACATATTAGAATAAGTTGGGAAACTTTAAAAAAAAAATGAAAGTGAGAGCCCATCTCGGGATAATTAAATCAGCCTAGTGTGGGTGTAGGCAGACATCAGGATGTCTCCAAATGTCCCAGTCACTGAATTGTGCAACCTGTGTTTTCAGAGTAGTTGCAAAGTCCACATTCTTTGGCACTTCCAGACTGGCTCACCCTGTCCACAAGTCCCTGAGAACACGAAGACAGGAGGCAAACACGTTTCATGGGCAGAGGAAACTTTTTCCATCTCAGAGTCTGTCTTCCTGACATGTGCAATTCTGAGAGAGAGGCCATGTCCTTTGGAGGATATTATTAATGTTCTGAGGTTATATTTCATTCTTCACAAAGATTCACTGTGCCTATAAAAAAAAAAAGAAGTTTGTAAATTCATTTTGCACTTTGCTTTGCCCACATAGCTCACTTTCAGACTGGGGAGGAGTTTGAACATTCATGTCTGTACCTTCTTTTCCATTAAATGTCATTCTTTTGCTTATTTTGAGTTTATGTCTCTATGAGAATCATCTATGAGCCTTTTCCCAAAATTATACATACCCTCATCCAGAGTTTCTCAAGGTGAGAACTGCTAGAGCAAGGAAGGGTGTTGTTATTTAGTTTTTACACAGCACTGATGCTAACCTCAGCCACTTTAGCATGCAAGATCATTGTCCAAATGTACTTATCAATATGGGAAAACAGCAGGCTGAGAATTACCCAATGACTCCCTCTGGTTGTAAATTGACAAAAATCCCCAAGCATAGACAAACAGTAATAGCTTCCTGTCCTCTGGCCCTTTGGAAATCAATGTACAGGACCTGACAGGCCACCCCAGAGAAGCTGCCCAACAAGGCAGCATGTCCCCTCGCAGGAGCTTTGCCTGCATGATCTGCATTTTAGAAATAAGTGGCTTCATCTTAGGGTCCACTCTTAGGTGAGTGATGGGTTCCTATTTGTCTCTGGAATTTTATGGTGGGATGCGGTGTTTCAAAATTTAATTCTAAACAGCAAGTAGACAAAAATGTTAAGCCCAGCAGTGATTATGCACAACCCCATAGTTTAAACTTTCAAAAGAGACAAGAGAAAACATATAGTGATCTTTGCAAGTTTTCTTGGAAACCTACTGCTATTTCTGGAAATTTCTTTAAACAAGCACTCAAATGTTCAGGCCAAGATATTATTTTTAAACACTTGAAATTACACCACTGGTTGTCACCCATATATGATAAGCCTGGATTTATCAGTGCCTAGCTTTCAAAAAGTTTAAAATTTATGTAATTAATCTCTTCTTTTTGTCTCAATGTCTAACTATTATTGGCTACACTGACCTTTTGCCGCCACATTAGGCAAAGGCTAATTGCTCTGTTTCTCCTCTTTGACATCCCATATTGTGTCCCAGATGATGCCCTGGGATTCAGGATCCTTTTGCTATCATTGCAGAAGCACCATGGTATAGGCCCAATGGCTGTTCTTGGCTTTGTCCTCTTCCTCTGATCCTACATGGATTACAAAGCCCATGTGCTATGGCTTGCATATGGTTTCTATTGTGTGCTTGAAGCATGGTCCCCATGGTGGCTGTTGAGGTGACAGAAACTTTAAGAGATGGAGCCCAGTGCTAAGAAATTAGGTTTCGGGAGACCCCACCCTCACTCATGAATGGGTTTATGCTGTCTCTCTGGAGTAGGTCAAGTCTGGTAGAAGTGGATCGGCTCCTGAAGTATGCTGTAAAAACAAAGAGTGAGGCTGCTCCTTCCCCAGCCTGTGGCTTTCTTGGTCACACACATGCTTTTTCTTCATGCAGCCATTTCTTCTCTTTTGAGGCCAAGTGTGACGCAGCCAAGATGGCCTCTCCATGCGATCTAAACTTTGCAGCCACCAGAATCTTGGGTGAAGTGAATCCTTTATACATTGCCCACATTGGGCATTTTGTAATATCAACGTAATGGAGGAGAGCACCACTTTAAGCCCAGCTAGGAAGTAACCAACTGGAAAGTAAATGTGTCCTGAACATGTGTATGGTACCTAGGAATGCTGGAGCTTAGGGCCCCACTGGGCATCCTTCCCTCCATCCAGAAGTCACTGAGTGACCCAACTCTGTATGATAGGAAATGATGACAGTATGGAAATATTCCTGACTTGAGTGGTCCAGCAAAGGGGAAACACTAGCGCAAACAATGTTCTTCCACCCAGATGCACTGTGACTGGGTCCCCTCTGGTCACTGACTCTTGGTTTACCCAAACTCTGTTTTGGATTCTGATGTCTATTTCAAGCCCACCCTGGCTGCCTCTATAGTGAGGGCTGCCTTTCAGCCTGGGCTCCACTGGCCAAAATGGGTTGTTCATGGGGCTGCATCTCCCAGGAAGGAGTTCACAGAGGTGCTGCCCAGACCTTCATGGGCTCTGGATCATTCTGTCATCTCCTCTCCCCACATTACATATGCAGTTTTATTTCACTCAGAAAAGATTTTCATTTTCTGAGCATCTGGTCACAAAAGGAACTTGTACTTGAAAGACAGCTACTGAAAGTTGTGTTAGCTCTCTTGTACTTAACCTGACTCTCTTAAGTTAAAAAAAAAAAAATTAAACACTGAATTCCGGGATTGTGGCTCCTACTGATCAAAGGTGAGAGGCTGTGGGGAAGGCTTCAGTTGCTTTCAGATTTGTGACCTCCGGGTCTTGGCCACACTCAGCCATTCCAGGGAGGTCCATGAAGTCCCATGGCTGGCTTCTAGCCTCACAGCTGCAGTGCCAAGTTTCACCTGCCCTCACACACTCCCACAGCCATGCCCTGGATGGTATGTCGGGGTTGCCTCGCTCTGAACACATAGTACTCTGCCCTTTGATAGAGGCTGAGGTCAAAGCAGAGGGTTCAGAGACTTCAGTCATGAAATTAGTCAAATAATTCAAGAAATAAAATTTACGAAGATCTCTACAAACATATATCTGATCTCATCAAAGCGTTCCTCTGGAGCTAGGCTGCCCCAGCTCAGGTCACTATTTATAAACCTTGCAGGTTAGAGCAAGCAGCTAGGCCTCCCTGGACTTTAGTTTTCTCAACTGTCAAATGTTGATCATGTTCATTTCCCAGGGCTACTATAATAAAGTAGCACAAATCAAGTGACTTAAACAACAGCCATTCATTGCCTCACACTCTAAGGGAGTGGTGTTGAAACTATGGCATATGTGCTGCAGTTGTTTGTATAACTGAAAGCTCTAGAAGGTTCACCATCATGCTGTAAGGACTAGAAGTTCTAGGTCAAGGCATGGTCAGGGCCATGGTCCCTGCAGCTATGTCCAGGAGGATCCTTCCTAGTTTCTGGCAGTGCCCAGCAATCGCTGGCATATCTTGTCTTAAAGATGCACAATTCCAGTCTCCACCTCTGTCACCACATGGGCATTTTCACATCACCTTTCCCTCTGTGTAGGTCTTTAATATTTTTCCCTTTTTATCAAAACATCAGTCATATTAGATTAGGTCCCACTATGATGATTTCATTTTAACTTGATCACCTGGGAAAAGACTCCCTTTCCAAAGAAGATCACATTCTGAGGTATTAGGGATTAGGACTTCAATATTATCTTTTTTGGGGGACAGTACATAATTCAACCCATAACTGTGATGATGATAGCATCTATCTAGTAAGATTTTTTGTAAACATTAAATTATGATGCATGTAAAGTAGTTAGAACATCTGATGTTGGCACATGAAAAAAACTCAAGAAATGTGTGGGGGGTTTTTTCTGATTAAATTCTTTTATTGGTACATTTTAGGTATACAATATGTTTATGTTTATCATTGGGTGCTTATACCTATACATGATATATCTTGGTTCTTATTTTTTCCCCATTCCCTGTGCTCCCTTGGTGTTTTTATAGCAATAATAATTCTGTACCTTCTACTTTGATATCCTTTCTTGTTTAGGAAAAGGGCTAGAGTTACAGCCTTCAGCAGCTACAGAGCTGCCACCATGTCAGTTTATGCGCCCACTATGGAGAGCCACCATTATCAGTGAACCATTGAGGACTTCTAACCCTCTAGGGGTTTTGTTTGTTTGTTTTGTTTTTGTTTTTTTTTTGTTTGTTTTATGAAGAGAAGTTTGCCCAGGAGAATAGGTTCCAAGGGAGACATCATCTGTTACATTTCTCAGGGCAGAATGAAAAATGTTAAAATCCACTGTGTGAGGAGAATAAGAGCTTCCAGAGACGGGCCTCCTGGAATGGCTCCTGACTCCCCAGTTTACTATGCTGGCAAATTCCTTACCTTCCCTGAATCTGCTTCTCACCTGTGAAATAGATGGAGTAGTGTGACCTGGCATGAGGAATAACAGAGATAATAAACACAATATGCTCAGAATAGTGTCCAGCAAGTGTTAAGTGTTCCATGCAGTTAGCTGTCTTTATCGTCTCTTCTTAATTCATAAATAACAAAATTTGTACATGGTTCAAAGATAAAAAGAAAAACAAGGTGTATTGAAAACTTTTGCTTTCTCTACTCATAACTTTTCATGAGATCTGTGATCTTATGTAAATTGTTTAGGACATTTCCCATTCCACCCTACTGTACTTTTTAGATAGACATATATTAGTTGCTTATGTAGCTTTCTATTATCTCTTTACATAGATTAAAGCAGTCATATATTATCTTATTTTATCCCTTTGTTTACAGAAGATATCATATTATACTTACTGTTGTGTACTTTGCTTTTTTTGGCATTATGATATATCCTAGCAACCTTTCTAAATCAGTTTGAAGGCAGTTCCTCATTCTCCTCACAGCTGATTAATTTTCTATTGTGTGTATAAAAAACAGAGGTAACACATCTCCTACGGACAGACATTTCAGTGACTTCCAGACTTTTATACTAGAAACAATGCTGTGATGGATATCCTTATTTATATATCATTTTGTAAGTTGATACATGTACCTGAGGATATAAATTATATTACTTCTCACTTCCCAGAAGTGATGTAACTGGGTCAGAAGATAATTGCCTTTGTCAATGGTAATTGCTTTTGACAATGCCAAAGTTGCCCCCATGGTTCTATGGTGTTTGTATTATTTTGCACTTTCACTAGTAGAACATTAGAATACTTTGTTTCCCCCCGGGTTTGCCAACAGGAGCAAGGGGCCAACTAGTTTGGTGTATGTCAACCACATAGGTGGAAATTGGTATGTTGGCAGAGTTTTAATTCATCTTTCTCCTATTGAGTCAGGTTGCACATTTTCAAAAATATTTTAAAGGCTATATGTAGCTTCTTTTGGCAAAGTGTCCTTCAGTCATGGTATACCAGGAGTCAGAAGACCCAAGAACATCTAGGAATGTGAGCTCTGAAGAGAAACTGCTTAAATCCCATCACTGCTACCACATAACCTGGGCAAAATTCCTCCCTGTCTCTCTGGCTCAGGTCCTCATCTTTGAAGAGTGATAGTAAGAGTAAGAGATATTTTGCAGGGGTGCTGTAAGAATTAAGTGGATAATAATATATAGATTTAAGTTTCTAACACAAATTAAACACTCAGACATTAGCAATTATTATTCAATTTATTTTAGTTAAATTTATCTTAACAATCTGGAAAAAATACTCAAATATACATTCATAGGAAAGATGGACCTAAAACAAAATGAAGATACCCAAAGTATCCATTTTTTCCCTTAGTTTGGTTGTATTTCCCTGAGTTTTTCATTTCCACATTCAGTACAAGTTAGAAGTTCTTTGTTTATCAACTTCTGTTGGCCAAAGATGGCCACTTGTTTATTTATCCATATACTATAGCACGTATTTATCAAGTTTGCAATATGAGCCAGATGTTGTGGTGGGAGCTGCTGGATAATGTTGTGTACATTACCACAGGCATTACCTCACTGGGCTTCCAATCTGATGAGGAACATGAAAAATAAAATGGCGGCACAACTTAACCAAGTTCTCCGAGT